GATTTACCCACAGATGTAGTTAAAATTTGCCTTTCTACCGTTTGTTCTTCTTCATCAGAATTTAGAAATTCCTCAATCTTTTCAATTCTATTCACCATTGCCTTCTGCAATGTCTGTATCTCCTGTCCAGAATTATGTTCCAAAGCCTTCATTGAGGATTTTAAAGTATGAAGTTTGTCCATTAGAGATAAGTTCTCATCTTTGGACATAATTTTTATGGCATAAACCGTGCCTTCTTGTATTGACAATCTTTCCGCCAATCTGTCATAAGCTTTAGACAAAATTCGATTGTCACATTCAACCATTTTTATTCTCTCAGTTAATATTTCAGTCCCTTCAGAAAGTGACTGATGAAATTTCCGATTTAAATCAGCTGTTCCTTCTTCCATAGTAATGGATTTCTCCTTAATATCAGACACTAATGGTTCACTTCCTACAGAAAGGGATTGGAGTTTACGATCCAACTCAGCTGTTCCCTCTTTCATAGTCATAAATTTCTCCTTAACATCCGCCTGAACCTTTTCTAATTTTTTTTCAGTCACCATTTTCTTGTTAAACATAGTTCTGTTCTCTTCCTGTAGAACTTCAAACTGATTCTTGAGAAGATCATTGTCATGCTTAATCGTTTGTTGATGTTCAACCTCTGCCTTAAGAATCCTGGATTCGTCTCTTAAAGACTCTGTCACACTTTTGATGTCAAACCACTTAATACCAAGGAAAACTACTAATCCCAGAAGGATCCATAGATGTGGGGTGCTAGACACCTCTTGTAGGATCTCCCACATGGCACACTGAAAAAGACTGTTAAAATTCTGAATAATTATATTCTCAGACATTTTATTTATAAAAGGAAAAAAAAATTTTACCTGCAATGACTGGTTCCTGCCAGAGGTGGCGAAAGAGTCCACTTGAGCCCATGGGGAGAGCTGGTCTGAAACAACTCAAAACTGAAATTTACCGTTCTGGGTTAATTGCTCCGGCAATCAGGCGGGGTGGAAGGGGAACAGAGAGAAAGCCACCAAAGTGAACAAGTCAAGGAGATGCACGGCACTGAGCCGGGTCAGGAGGACTGCAATGCCTCTCTGCCATTAAGTGACCGGAGCGCAAGTTGGTGGGCAGGGCGGGGCACACAGACACAAATCCAAACCACCGGGGCTAAGTCTCCTGTCCTGTTTGCTGGCTTTCTAGCAGGCACCAGAGATTTCCAGTGACTCAGAATCGCAGCTGCTTCTAGGTGCAGTGCTGAGAGGGCACAATCTGTGCGAAGAGAGAGAGAGAGACCTCCAGTGGGGGAGGTGCCGCTGGCTCCCAGCGGTGGCCTCCTGAAGCCTCCGAATCGGGGCAGGTATCCACAAAGTCCCACTGGGTGCCAAAATGAAGTGGCGGCTTAGATTAATGTAGACAAATTGTGTAGGTATTTGCACAACTTTAATGAAAACAAGACTCACGAAACCAAGGTTCCAGCAAAGTACAAGAAGCAGGAAGGGGCCCACGGCTTCTGCGTGCCCAATTTATCAGTAAACATTCGCCCGAGGTGAGCCCGCACCCTTAGGGGTGGGCCTAACCCTACAGTTGCTCAGGATATGGGAGTCAGAACTTGTCTATTTAACCTGCCAACAGAAATTCAGATGAGAAATGTTGTGTCCAATAGGTCTCACTAGGCAGGTTCATTGTATTCTTTGTCATTTAGGGACTAGCCTGATACATGTTGACATGCTAGGATCTGAGACAGAGAGCCAAATCTGGCTGAATCCACAGTTCTCATCTGATCTGACAGAACTGGCTCTGGATATGATGACACTAAATGTACCAAGAAGTTCAGGGAAGGAGATTTGTTCACATATCCATGGGAAAGTATTCTCAGTAGATTAACACGATACTCCTCACTCCTCTTTATCCACAACAAAATAGAGTTAAAATAGAGTTAAATGGAGTTAAAATAGAGTTTAAATAGAGTTAAAAGAAAGCCGTAGATAGATGGAAAATAAACAGAGAATTTTGATACTGTATGCTATTATGCTCTCTTTGAATTGTTTGAATGCTGAGAAAAGAGCAACAGCTGCTAAAAGATATTTGTTTATAAATGCTGCTGAACTAATCCAACATAGATATTTTGAAAATGCCTTGACTTTGAAATTTTGATCTAAGGACATGATGCTTTGGAAAGGAGTTTCTTATTTTGTTTTCACAGAGGGTGAGAGTCTATGGATTGCTTCTATCCTAATATGGTATGATGGACCACGCCCTCCTGAAGGATTGCTATGAACACCTTCAAAAAATTACTTCACTCAACAGCCTACTGAGATGACCCTGGCACACAGGTTATACCATGAAAGACCCAATTAATGACACCCCTATACAGCAGGAAGCAGTTTGGAGAGAAAAAAACTGCGCCCATGTTCCCAAGTATTGTTTATAAATGTTCTTTTACATTTAAAGGAAGATATGATATAGATATGAATAATTTGCATTGGTATGGATTTTAAGGTCAATTTTGTTATATGTATATGTATTTCTGCTCTTGATTAAGGTATTGTGATTATGTAGTTCATTTAAAAATGTAATGCATAATTAGGATATATAGGTTGTTAATGGATAATCATTGATAATAGTAAAGCTTGTAGTCATGTTAGTTAGATCTTCTAGATATATAGAGATATATTTCAGTTAGATAGACATTCTTCATATCTTTCAAAGATTATAGAATATGGCATTTTAAATGTTTTAATAACTTAGGGTTTTTTATAACAATGAGACACTCTGCTCCTGGCAGCACCAATCTACTTCAAGAAGAAGATGGGTATTGAAGAGGATCCTTATGGAGTTGGATAGCCATTTGGGCAAGAAACTGCTCTTGCCTGGACTGTTGCATAAACTGGACACAAAGAACCCTCAGAGAGAGGACTACTGAACTTGCCTAAAGGTGAGATGATCTTTCAGGGTTCCTGATTCATGAAAGAGTCTGCAAGACATTCTTCAGGATAAGCAGATAGTGACTGCCTTTGAAATTTCCTGCTTCATGAAAATGTCTGCCGGAAACTATGGGCCTGTAGGCCAAAGATGGATGCCCCAACGGTATAGAGGAACTTTGGGTGACTGTCCAGGCAGCAAAATGTCTCTGTCATTTCTAGAGTTTTGAAAGTTGCTTATATCTTGTTTATTTAGGTAATATTATATCCTTCTGGAATCTTTGATGCAGTTAAAAATAGATAGATATGCATAGTTGTTTTCCTTTGTTATGATAAAAGATAAAATAGATATAAATATTGTAACTATAATTCTTGCTTGATAACTGTTTTGTTATATGTAATTTTGCTATGTTCAAGTTAAAGCCCTCTTTTTTTGTTTAAACAGAAAAAGGGGAAATGATGTGGGAGTGTATATCAATCTGTTGATTTCATTGGTTAAGTAATAAAGAAACTGCTTGGCCCTGATAGGTTAAAACATAGGTGGGAGGAGTAGGCAGAACAGAATGCTGGGAGGAAGAGGAAATGAGCTCAGAGGCCATGCTCCCCTCTCCCTGGCAGACACGATGAGAAACTCCGACCCGGGATGGATGTAGGCTAGAATCTTCCCGGTAAGTGCACCTTGGGGTGCTACACGCATTATTAGAAATGGGCTAGTCCAGGTGCGAGAGTTAGCTGAGAAGAGGCTAGATATAATGGGCCAAGCAGGGTTTAAAAGAATACAGTTTATGTGTTGTTATTTCGGGTAAAGCTAGCTGGTGGCGGAAGCTGGGTGGCAGAATGCAACCCACAGCTCCTCTGATAATTGGCTGCTTTGTAAAACATGCTCATTGGGAAGCATGGACATCATAGTATTTTCTAATGTGGTCACTTTTACAAAGAAAGAGTCACATTTCTGGATCATTGCTGCTAAGTAATCTGGAGCCTGCAGCACAGTGTTTGAAATATTTTTATTTTGATCTTCCCACCAACTACCTGCAAATGTCACCCCTAATTTATTCTTTTACTTGTTTGATTTTAACACTTTTACCCAAAAATAATATACACTTCTCTATTTAAACTTGTATTACTTGAGTATTGGTAAGTATTCTCAAATTCTTTTGGAAACTAAGAATGATGTTTGAATATATGTATATTTTATGGCCACATAAAATGAACCTACTTGAAAATAGATAAAGTTAAAATAGTATATATTAATTAACAGTTATATTCTTAGCCTAGTCTTAAAAGATTGCTGTGATAGGCAGGTAATGGTGGTGCTCACCATTAATCCCAGCACTTGGGAGACAGAGGCAAGCAGACCTCTGTGAGTTCCAGACCAGCCTGCTCTACAAAGTAAGTTCTAGTACAATCAAGACTACACAGAGAAACCTTGTCTCAATACCAAAAGAAAAATTTGCTGTTGTTACAAAATATATTTTATCAGAGTTCTACAATACTACACTAAACATTCCTTTCTTCATGAACCAAACTCTGAACTTTCAGAACAGGCTGTATTTTATTAATTTGTTTGTCTCAACAAACCTCTGATACTTCTACCTTGATATTTTAAAACCTTTAGCTGTGGTAAAGCTCATAGTGATTGAGGAGTCTGTCCTCCAGACCTGCTTATACTTTTTTTAGTTTCCTAACAAACTTGTTTTCTTTGTCCTTGCCATGTTTGGTACTTATTTACTTTAAACAATAAAGTCAAGACATCTTTTGCTAGCATCTACCAATCTGTTTTCTACACTGGTGGGTTTAATGGAGGTCAGCAGTGCCCTTCCCACAGGTCCTTACTGTGGATGTCACAGCCATTCAGTGACTACTTTACTCACAAACTTACTTAGTGATAAACTTAAACCTTAGCCATCCTCATACTTGACTTCTCTGCAACTTAATTTTTTTGATCGTAAACATTTTTTTTTTATTCAACCAATGCTTCCCCTTCCCCATTTCATGGTCGCTTGTAATTTCAGCTATATGTTTGGTTCCAAAGGATAAAAACACTGCCTGAATTGTGAACCAGGATAATTACGTAATTGACAGTTTTCAATGAAAATATAGAAACTTGTTACGTCAAAAACCTCCCCAAAGGCTCATGTGTTAAATAAATGTTTGGTTGCCAGTTGAGGGACTTTTGACATGATTGGATCATGAGAGTTCTGTGTTCCAAACTAAACTACTAAGAGATAGGAATAATTTGAGGAAATAAACCATCGAGAATGTGTATTTGAAGACTTTGTTTTGTCCCAGAGCCTTCTCTCTATCTTTTGTCTGCTTCCTGGATGCTTCAGTGTGAGAAGCTTTCCTCCACCATGCCCGTCCACCATGATGCTTCTTCCTGCCACAGACCTGAGAAAAAGGGAACCAGATAATCAGGCATCAATGGTCCTAAAGTCATGAGCTAAAATAAGTCTTTCTTCTTGTGTTTTTCTCAGATGTTTAGTCACACCGTGATCTGAGAGCAGGGTCTGATGTGCTGGACAAGAGATCGCATACCCATGAGGAAGATGCTAGTGAACTTGATGAGCATCTTTGAAGACCACATCCAGGACAACTCTCCACCACCCAGGGTACAAAAATACACAAAGCTCTCTAAATTACCAGCTGTTATGATCATTGTCGAATCTTTTTGAGGTATTTCTATCTTTTCAAAGACCTTGAAAATTGCCTTCAAAATGAAGATTTTGGTGCTCTTGCTTTGAAACGTGGTTAAGCTGCAGGCACGGCACAGTCTGGTCTGTCAGAGTCTGCTTCTGACATAGCTAATGTGATATATGGTGCAGAATTTTTAGTTTCCCTGACCTTAAGTTCTGCCAGTAAATGGAGGCTAATATAATGTAAACAAGTGATCCATACCACACCTTGCATAGTGATACTAACAAGATAATGTATTAATGAAGTGACTTGAGCTACCAATGCTAGAGGCATCATAGAAATTACTTTGTGTAGAAGGTTTTCTTCTCATGTGTTCCTTTCATTGGTTAATGAATAAAAAAATCTGCTTTGGGCCTGATAGGACAGGACTTAGGTAGGCCGAGAAGACAACTGAATTCTGGGAGGAAGAAAGAGTCAGAGACCCGCCATGGAGCCGCCAGGTCAGACATGTTAAATCTTTCCCAGTAAGCCACGACTTTAGGGTGATATACAGATTAATAGAAATGGTTTAAATTAAGATGTGAGATTAGCCAATAAGAAACTAGAGCTAATGGGCCAAGCAGTGTTTTTGAGTACAGTTTGTGATTATTTCAAGTGTAAGCTAGCCGGGCGGCAGGGAAAAACAAGCCTCTCTCCTTGCAACAATTACTAACCATTATTAACCACTAAAGACAGGCTTTCTGCTACCCTCCCTAGAGAATCATCTAAAGTGACTGCTAGAATTTTCTATAAGACTGTCACACCTATTACACATTTGCTAAAAATGATCAGAGACAACAAACACTGGAGCTGGTATTAGGGTACATGCATCTCCATCAGAAGGTGCCACGGGATGACATCCAAGAAGGCCACATAATCACCAGCATATAGACCACTAACATGCTGGTGAGTGTCTTCAGTGACAATGATTTTTTTTTATTTTATTTAATTTATTTATTTATTTATTTATTTATTTATTTATTTATTTATTTATTTATTTTTGTGAGCCAGTCAGGTCTTCTATACCAATTGCATTTGCATGGTCATGTAATATTATTTGGGCAGGTTTGACATTTAGAAGTAAAATAAAAGTTCTTTAGTGCATCAGTTTCTTTCCTGACATTTTAGTGTTTGTAGTCATCTGTAAGAGTGGTAGCTGACATAAAACTATTTATGTTTTAAAGTCACATGACATACCATGGGAAGAACTAAATACTATACAGACCTTTATAGATCCCAGGGATCTGAAACATTCAAAGACTAAAGAAGATATCTTGAATCCCTGGTTTCTACAGCACTGATTGATTTTCAAGTATAAAGACCACTGTAAACATTTCAAAGGACTGGGGATAGTTTAGTGCTAGAGTCCTTGCTTAGAATGTGCAAGGCCTCTGGTTTCATTCCAGCAGGGAAGACAGACAGACACCTTTTAAAGAAAGAAATCTTTTAAAGTGCATTGTTTGTATTGTTTCCCTCCCTCCCTCCCTCCCTCCCTCCCTCCCTCCCTCCTCCCTTTCTCTCTTTCTTTCTTTTAAATCAAATTCCACACCCCTTCCCACCTTTTTCTCCCCTCAAAAATCTCTTGGAACATTTAAGTAGTATATTAGGTCAGTTTTTCCAGTTGCTTAAGGGCTGGTATAGTATTAACAAAATAACTCAATGGCAAAACTTTGCTCATCAGTTTTTTTTTTTTTTTTTTTTTTTTTTTTTTTTTTTTTTTTTTTATTGT